GAAATATAGCTGAATTAGCACTACAAAGTCAATCCAAGGTTGCTTTTTTGGTTGATGATTATTTGTTTTGTATTTTTTTTACTTTTGGTGGATAGCAGTACTGCTTTCTACACTTAGTCTCTTTCTTTCAGCTGAGCGAGGCCTGGAGCACCTCTGCTGTAAAGACAGGCTGAGAGAATTGGGGCTGTTCAGAGAAGAGAAGGCTCCAGGGAGACCTTTTAGGGGCCTTCCAGTACCTGAAGGGGCTACAGGAAAGCTGGGGAGGGGCTTTTAATCAGAGAAGATAGTGATAGGACAAGGGGTGGTTTTAAACTGAGAGAGGGGAGATTTAGGTTAGGTATTAGGAAGAAATTCTTCACTATAAGGGTGGTGAGGAACTGGAATGGGTTGCCCAGGGAGGCTGTTGATGCCCCATCCCTGGAGGTTTTAAGGCCAGGTCGGATGAGGTTTTGTGCAACCTGATCTAATGGTGGAGTTCCGTGCTCATGGCAGGGAAGTTGGAACTAGATGATCTTTAAGGTGCCTTCCAGCCTTAATGATTCTATGATTCTGTGCGTGCATTTTGTATGCTATTTAAAATGTTTGTATTTTTATTCTTTTTTATGTATTCTGTTTTTTCCAGTCCTGTGATAGATACTTGGTTTGGTGTTTATTTCATGTAGCAGAAAATACCTACCACAGAAATGCAAAGGCAGCCTGACAGCAAGCTTCTCTTTGGGCATGTTGACATCATCCTCCTCTCTGAGCTCTAATTCAACTTTCAACACAATGCCTAAAACCACACAGCCTCTGGGCACAAAAGATGGACACGAGAGTACACTTGTGCATTCTGTTGCCCTGTAAGCAAATTGCCTTGTTAATGAGGAATCAGTCAAATAATGGGTTTGATAGTCTGTGTTTAGATTAGGTAAGGTAAAGAGCAGAAGTGTTTTTTGGTGTATCACAGACAGAAGCACATTCTGTTCAGAGTTCAGGGCTGTGAATGCCATTGACTTGAATATCTCTGACAAGAAAAGACAAAGATACAGCTATTTCATATGTAATAACCACTCTTCGGAAAAAAATGAGGAAGGTAGGATTTTTTAACTGCACTGACAGGCCAAAGTGGAGCTGCACTTTATAAAGTGCATATATACCTCCTAGAAGATAACTCCTGCTTTCAGCTGTCTGTCTGTATTTACACGGATTATGTCTGGAAGGAGGAGAGGAGAATGCCATTGTTTTCATGTAACAGATAAGGAAAAGAAACTGGGGGTATGTGCATACAAACAATGTTTATGGGGTGAATTCCCCTGCTTGCAACGATAACAAATCAGTACATGCACACAGAGAACCTCTGCAGATTTGATAACGTGATGTGAATTGCTGCTTTATGCTATCTTGTGCCAGTAGTTACACCTGTAATGAACTGTATGTAAACTCTCTCTCAATAAATAGCAAGCTAACCTACAGCCTGTTTTTTTTTCTGAATGCAACAAACCCAATCTAGTTGGTTGTCTGTCTGGGCTCTGCCTTTCAGCCACTCTAATTTGATGGAAGAGAGAAAGGAAAAGATATCTGTGTTCCTATAGCTTTCCTTTCCAAGCTAAATAGCTTGGATGAGCGAGGAGGGAACACAACTGAATCACTCAGACAATTTGTTCTTTCAACGGGTGGGGTTAGGAGGTTAAAAGATTTTTACAAATAAACAATAAAAAAAGGCAAGTATTAGTTTATGTATTTGATGGGAAGGCTGTAATTCTGCTCTGCTCTGTACTACATAAAATATGGAAATTTTATGTTATCTGTCCTTCTCTTGAAGAACTAGTACATTCTCTTCTTATCATTATGTCCCATCTGGCACATTATTCAAACTGAAGCTGAAGTATTCCACCATTTGAGTTATCACATAAACAAAAACAATGTGAAGAAGCTCATAATAAACATATCACAAAAACCTGCTTCTTGGCCTTCTAAACTCTTGCTTGCTTTGCTTTGACAGAGCAAAGAGCATATCAAACCTCCTTGACCAGCTTCATCACTGGGACACAACCTTTTGGTCATCCTCAGCACATCTTCTGTGGGTGTTTATGCATCTGGGCAAAGTGATGTGACTCATGTCTCTATGATCCAGCAGTCAGCCAGTGCTATCCTACCTGCTGGGCATAAGAGAACTGCCTATGCTGTAGAACCACGGTCTATATCATACTGCTTTTGACTTTCCCTTATTCTGACAGAAGAATGGATGTGTTGGCACATACGGTGAGTCAGTTTCAGGGCTGTTTTAACCTGTAATAGTTGGTGATAGCCTCCAAGACACTGGTATGTCAGGCTAAAGACAGCTGGTTGGCAGCAGTCCTGGCCATACTCTCTCTTTCTCTGACTTCACATGCTCAATAATTATGACAGGGACAGCAGAAAGTGGTTACATAAAATCTACGCCTGTAGGGAACTTTGTATTTCATAGAAATATCCATATAATCCTCAGATTTTTATTCCACAGGACAGTGACAGGACAGGAAAAGGATCTCTTCTTAGTCATTTAGGATAATACATATTAAACAGACAAAGTAAAAAGCCTTGCCATTCTCTCTGTCTTTTAAAAAGTGGTTTCATTAATACAGTTGACCTCAGAGATACACCACTGCATGTACTGTACTTTGAATGAGAAATATGCTGCTTTCGAGATTGAGTCTCAGCAGAACTCTTGCTTGATAAACTAATCTTTTTAAAATCCATGGTGCTGCTGTGAGCAGAGCACAGAACCAGGAGCTAGCTACTCTCTTTTATATTTTGCTCCCTTTCTATAGACTATTTAGAGTACAGGATGATGAAAAAATAGGAATGGGGCTCCCCAACGGACAGCAGTTATAGCTGTATTCTTCCTTTTGCCAGAAACACAAACCACACGATTTTTATGGCAATCAGCACAAAACACATCATGTTAAATCCCTCATTTCTTTAGCATGATATGAACTCTCTCTTTTTCTCATATTACCATCCTGGTCAGTCAGGTATGTGAGGTTTTTCTAGGCAACAGGTGTTTTTTGAAATAAAATACAACCTTCCCTTCAGCTCATTATGTAAAAGAGACAGCAGCTGCAAGTATAATGCTGAGGACACATGGTCTATAAGACATCCAGAAGAAAAATACTCCTTGTTCCACTTGTTAAGGTAAAGCACAGATGTTGCTTCAGTGATAAGCATGAGCATAAGGCAGCCAGTCTGCTTCATGTTGTAAATTCAGAAATCTAAGATTTCAGAATATTTAGTAGGCTGCAATCAGAATAACTGGTTTCTTTATGTAAGGGAAAGATATTTATATCTAATCTCATGGTCCTAACAAATAATCCTCATCACAGCTTGCACTACACTATCATCAACAATATGCTGGGGACTATTCAACGAACTGGCATATAAATTATTAATAATCTTTTATATGGACTCAATTATGAACATCAAATAGCTACAAGTGCATAAATTAATACAATTACATTTACAGATTGTATATATTTACAAGGTTTTAGTAATTTAGAATGTTAAATGCAATTTTTTTCCCTCCCTCCCTGTTGGCACTAAGGCTATTTCTCTGTCTCTAAGATCTAAACTTGAGAGTTGAACAGTTGAGAAATCAACTGCAAAATAATGGTGTCTAATGAATGTAATGAACAAAGCTAGAACAAATCCTTTCCATGGAGCAATTCTCACTCAGTTAGGTTGATAATTCCCTCCCACCACCTCCCCCCACCTCCCCCCGGACAGAGTTTATTAATTTTTCCCTAATTGCTTTTAAGAATAAAGTACACACATTGCAGCTTATAACTGTTAAGGTGAAGATAGTTTTTAAAATAAAAAGAAAGCACAGCAGCACAGCATTTCTTCAGAAACACAAAGGCCCTCTAGAAATGCCTGATCTCCTTACTCTCTCCAGTTTCCTAGGCCTAACTAGGTCAGAAACTCTACCTTACCAACAGGAACACATAACAACACAGAGAAAACACATTTCACAGAACAATCCCAGGGCTCTTGCTCTGTGAGTACACTGGTTACTTTGGCTATCTTGCAAAATATTTATGCTGGCCTTGCAGCACAAGTCCCAGTAGCTTGTAGGACTGCATCTTTTTCTGGCTACAGTGGTTGTTATATAGAGCAGAAGCTGCAATGAACTGGGAAATGTACATATGGAGGAAAGCTGGATGGTGTGGATCTATTAGAAAAAGTAAAAAGCTTCACAGTCCTTCAGATCTAGTTCAAACTGACCCTGGCTCTTTTGTGTAAGGGTTTTGGAAAATCTGTTTTGCTACACTGTAGGTAAGATTAATCCATCCTTTGTCATTCTATCACCAGTAGGTTTAGAGAAGACAGGCTTAAGAAATAACATGAAACAAACTAGCTCTGATCACGAGATACTGTAAGTTTACAAAGTAATTTAATAATGAAAATCATAGCATGGTACTTTCTTGCTGTGATGTATATGGTAAAAAAAGATAATTTAAATGTCTGATGTAATATTTTTCAGTTTGCTATGTTGTTCCAAATGAGAGATGTAAGTAATAAAAACAAATAATCAAAAAACAAAACCCCTGTGTTAACTGGAAAGCTGATAAATGTGCCTAGAAGGGAACCACAAGAAGTTATTACTGTTTGGACCTACCTATTGTTTGCTACTCATTTGTTGACTCATGTTCTTAATTGTGTTCTTGTCCTGCAAAGTGCTTAGAACCCAAAAGGACAATTCAAATTGCTTGTGACTGAGGATATTTATGTATTTGGTGTAGTATGGTTTTCAACCTTTGGTGCTGTTGAAGGGGAGCAATCTCTTCTTACAAATCCATACAGCCTTTTACCCTTCCTGAACCAACCATCCTCAGTGTCTTATGCCAGGTTATTACTACCACAAGAGTTAATAATTCAGAGTACTGTTACTAAGATTTTCCTCTACTCAGCAATCAAGGCTGATCACACACATTCCAAGACTTGTACACTTATATCATGGGGAGAAAACTTAAGTAAATACTCACATGTGTCTTCACATCTCCTTCAAGAATCCTGCTGTACCTGAGAAACTCGGCAACACTTCCATTCAGCAGCCTATCAAAGGCTTCAACATATGGTGCTATGCCTGTAGAAGAAGAGCATTCCATTATAATGTATTCACCAAGAACACAGAAACACAAAGGACATTCCTTTGAAGAAGATGTA